GGAATGCAGTGAACATACAGTAACAGAGCTAGCCATGTAGTGGGATATGCATGTTCTGTATGTCATTCCACTTGCGTTCATCAGAGGGATCACTGATCTCAGCAACAACAGTTCCTTCATCAGTAAAAAGTGTCTAACTGGCTTATCCTTCATGCTGTAGCACAGCTCACTTCTTCCCTGACTCTTCAGGACAGCAACAGAGAAATCACAAGGCTCTCAGATACTGCTTTCCAGTACAAAAGTACTTTGAAGAAGCAACTGCTTAGAGCTTTACTATGAAACGCTTAACATAAAAATATAACCTCCTCTATAAAGTAATCAGCATTTAACAGCACGATCCATACAGTCCAAGATTGCAAATCTGAGTTATATCTGGACCATTTTCTCTCACGGCATTGCTCTGCCCTTGCACCTGTCCCTCACTAACATATGCCTGATTGCATAGCTCCTAGAAAATTCAGCGCGTTCCACTGGCACTGTTTTCTGCTCGTGCGAAAGAGGCATTTCTCTCTCGAATACTGCAGTCCCTTCTATCACATGCTGTTTCTTCAAAATGTTGCCACTAAAGGCAAAACAAAACAAAAACCCCTCTCATCAGGTAAGAGAGATGCCCAACTAAATCTTTTCACTGACTCCCAGCTAGTCATTCCAATGCATCATATTCAAGTTGCTCGTCATTTCTGAGGTTAAGCAAGAGACAATTAGTACCGAGACATTTGCCCCTTTTCTGTTTTGTCTGTACAATTTCAATACCCCTTTTGATAACCTCCATAACCTCGAACTCTTCAATGTTTTTTGCAACTTGCTAATCTGCTTCTTTTCTTGAGACACTCCTTTTTCAAAGCTATGACTCAAGTCCCGACACAACCTGTCAGATTTCTTTTTTAACAATTTAAGTGTAGTTTTACAAAACAAAATTAATTTACTCAGATGCTATAAAACGGTCTGTAAAAAAATGTTGGTCTTCTGTTTTGAGGCAGTTGCTTTCCTTTTCTTCTGCCGTATATTGTAGCATCATCCCTTGAAGGTTCATTTCTGCCCTTACCTATCACCAGTGATAACAGCCTAGTTCACTAACTTAGCTGAAAGCAACAGAACTATTTGAGGATGAAAATACTACTTGCTACAGAATAAGGGTGGCAAAATTAGCACAGCAACAAATAGATTTGTCACAATGGCATTTTTTCACTACTCTATGTGGGATCTCCATAGCAATCCACGAGGGGAAACTCAAAAAGCATCACTTGATGGCTGATGTGCTATTCTTTTCTTCTAACAGAACACTTTTGGTTTTCAAACAGGACTCGGAGGAACCAAGTACATCTCCTTTGAAGAACGGCAGTGGCATAATGATTGCTTTAACTGTAAGAAGTGCTCGCTCTCACTAGTGGGTCGCGGCTTCCTTACAGAAAGGGACGACATCCTTTGCCCTGAATGTGGGAAGGATATTTAAAGCTCAAAATAAGAAGTGGGCAGAGAGGAGGAAAGCCGTGCTTGCAATATATAGTCTGAGATACACGGAAATTCGGAACTAGCTTTGCCACTCTGTGTTTCACTGTGCTATTAACATTACTTAACCTTTTTCTCCAAACTCTCCAAATCTGGAGAGGAAACAACTTCAAAATGTCTAGTAGCAGTGCTGGTGTTTAAGATTTTTACAGCTAACCACAACTAAAGCAAAACCTGAGATGTAAAACCATTTGGGTGTTATTGACATAACATAGTCTTTTTTTTCTTTTTCCTTCTTCCACTAAATATTCCCATTACAAGCAAGTGATATAGTGCAAGGAATGCAATGGCCACACACAATACGTTTGTAGATGGATATTCAAGGTGAAACCCTCAGCTCACTGAAATCAGCAGCAACCACCACTCAACTTCAGTGAGGCTGTGGTCTCGCCTCAGTGTTCTCGAGCTCTGTGACTAGTGTGTGCTGTCAAGTGTGTAGAAAGACTGCAAACGTAGAGGGTGTTTCAAGGGGCAAGGATTCGTGCCATGCCGTAACGAGATAATGATAAAACAGTTGAAGTGGGAGTGCTTCAGAACAGGTACATATTTTATTGCATGACTAGCTGATCATTGTGTGAAGTACAAGTTCTGATGGACAGTGTCAGTATCACAGTTAGTCAACATTACACTGAACATTGTATTTTTCAAAATAAAATCGTTTAAAACAAAATTGTGATTGTGCTTTGATTGCATTTACACATTAGATATTTACAAATAAAATGCTTTCACAGTCTGAAGAAACACAACGTAAGAGTCATACAAACACAACCCTTTTTGCACCCAGTCATTATAAAACTGTGGAGTTCAGACAATCCTCATACGGGCCCTACTGATACAACATAGTCTTGTACTAACTGAAATCAGTGAAAAAATTATCAGCAAAACTGAACAACTGTATGAAAATACTGAATCAACTGCAGCTGATAAAAATGTGTTCACAGGCTCTAAACTCAAAACTAAAATATTATTGTGCTCAGCAAGCAAGGAGGTCAAGACAACTCAAAAGACATTTAACCTTTGCAAAAGTCAGAAGTTTAATTTCTATGCTATGGTATGCTTTAATTTTGTTCTATATTGCAATACGTAGTATCTTTTGCTCTATAATCACTTCTGCTGTGTGTTCGCAGCAAAGGCAACTGTTGGCAACAACATGCTGGCAGGACAATAAAATCAAGAGGAAACAAAGGAAGATAAGTGTCTTCCCAAAGCAAACTTCAAGAAATATGACCATGTCATTCAATGCATGACCTTGGTACACCCTCCAGATGGAATTCTTTTGTATCCAGCAAAAGGAGCGATGTAATATGTCACTTCCGACAGGAATCTTCAGATATGGAAAGAATTAGGAATATACTTAATCTGTGTGTAACTAGGTAGGAAAAGTTTGCTTCTAGTTCCTGCTACCACTCTTGAATTCGTCTCTTTTTGTACCAAGTGTGAAGTGCTCTCAGGTCATTCATCTCTCATGAACTCAACAAGCTAAACAGATGTATCAACAGATGTGGCTTACTGTACACCATTTGAGTAACTTGAGTGGTTGACATTTTTGAAGTGCACACCGTGCTAATCTGATCTCACTGAATGACTAAATTCGACCCTTTGGTGACTTCATTCTATGATGAAGGCTGTAGTAAAGAGTAGCCATAAAAATCACTCTCATATCCATGCATCCCAAAGGAGGGCAAGCACCTCACTTACTCTCTCCTCTGGGGTCTGGCAAACCCCCTGCACGCTGCAGCTCTGCTCTGGTACTTTGCTGAGAGAGGAGGATTACTAATAGCTCAGGGGGTAGTGGAAGGTTGTAAGAGCAGCATGGCTTGCATCTTGCCCCCCAAGCGCCGCAACAGATGGCAAAATGGTCCCAGCTTCAGGGAAAGGTAGGTGAAACATCACAAGGCTGGAAAGCATGCTGGCCCGAAAACAAGACTGTTACCATGCAATAGCAACACCATGCTATTATTCCAGTACGGTTCTGCATATCGCTCCTTAACACGTACCAACACACACACGCTTCTAGCAACTGAAACTACAACAAGATATAGCCTAGGCTCTAAACCACTGCCAAGAAACCACCCACAAAACAGAACTCCTACCAGACTGTTACTCTAGCGCAAGGACCAGCACTTCACATACTAAAACTCCAAAGTAGCTACTGAGCCTTTTACTCTGTAAGCTTTTTCTTAAGTTCTAATCACTTTAAGTCCGCTGAAACACAACCATATAAAATGAACAAGCTTAAGTACATCACAAAAAGAACTCACTACTACTTTGTTTGCTTTTAATTGAATTTATTTAAATAGCGTAAGGCTACTAAAAAGACAACTCTTTACATACAAAATGTACATTACCTTAAAGTTTGCTGTACTCAAGTACAAAAACTGCACAAGTGTTTAGTAAAAGGGAAACATTACACAACATTTCAAAACACACACACTCTTACCATTTCACAGCATTCGAGAAGTGCCTTTTATGTCATAACAGTGAATGGAGAACTTCTGTCAGTAATGAATTAAGCTACAGTTTTTGGTTTCAGTATCAACCAATGTTAAAAATGTAAACAAGCTTTCAGATCACTACCGACAGCTTCTTTTAGTGAGTTAATTAAGTGGATTCAGAAGTTGATTCTTTCTTTGTTTTTATTTTACTAAGTCTAGGAGCATTATTATTATTTACCATCCATATGTAAAATGGATCTAAACTGGCTCCACCCTGAGCCACTGACATTTAGTAAAAACGTTTCCATCAACTTAACTGGATTTCTGCCTTATAAGGCACTACCAATAATCCAGACGAAACACCAAGTTTCACAGAAAACCAACATCCATGTTAAATTATCAAAGGAATGGAAAACAGTTTTGGGTTGGTTGGTTGTTTTGGGGTTTTTTTTTTTTAAGAGTGCAACTACATACACTAATGCTCTCAAGGTACTTGTTTGTCTTCCTATCCCTGTCCCTCTCCAACTGTTAGCAAAGTTGAGAAAGCACTGGCCTGCATTCCAAAGGTCTTCCCCATATTTTATAAGCATGATTGTAACCAGGAAAACAAGCAAATTTGCTACATCAGCACATTTTTACACTTATGCATGTATAAAACATGCCTGTGTATTTAAGAGAACACGGCACTAATCCATTCACTACTTCATCTCAGAGATTCATATCAAACAGGCTAATAACATACTTCCATCTGTGCATTTCTTATTTCATACGTCAATAAGAGAAACTTCAATTTGAAGTAATGTTGTTAAATAGTTCATCTCTTATTACCAACCTGACTTGCACTGTAAATTCTACACTCCTATTCTGTGCAACAAAAAGGAAAAGAAAAATTGTCTCAGACTCTTTTATCAACAGAATGGTCAGTTTTCTCATCTAAATGAATTATCTTTTTGAAGTTAAGAAGGCTCTTGGGATCACTCTGAATCTCAATAGCTATTTTAACCATTTAACCAGAAGTGGAACAAAACTGAATCTTACTGAAACTAAAAAAATATATATTTATATGCGTGAATCACAGGGACATGCAGGAGATGAACTATAATCATCTTGAAAACTAAAAGTGGGGGGGGGTTAGTATATTGTAACATTACTACCTTTTGAAGAAGTAATGAACTACTTGGTGTACAAGAGCAGACACTCTTAAGGTGACTGGTGATAATGACTCCAGCTTTACAACAGGGAAATTCTAACCTTGTTAAAACTTCACAGCAATCTGAATCCCTGTAAGGTTTAAAAAGACTTGTACTTAAACTGTTTCAATATGACTTATGTATTTGAAAATATGGAAGTAACATTTATGTTTCAAGCACCATTAGCTACTTCATGGCCATGTAACATGCTGGATTTTCTTCTTTGCTTCCGTAGGCTTTAGGTCATTCTGGAATACAAGAAAATATATTAAGTATTCTTAGATATACTGTGCAAGTAGAAGCTAGTAATTAACCTGCCACATTCAAATCTAGTACTGACTATTGCTGCACTCAGTTATACGCTATTACAACAGCTTTCTATTGCCATCTTGTGGAGAAAGTTAAATACCACAGAACTTCTCCAGAGAAAATAAAAATAAAGCAAATGAATTAACTACCTGCAAAGCATCTATGTCTTTTGCTTTTTCTTAATCCTACAATTAGTTATGCAAAAATATCTCAGTTATGCAGCTTAGAAAAAGGTACATATTGGAGTTTCAAAACACAAAGTTATTTCAGATTGCCTTCTTAAAATACTTGTTGAAATTTGATTGTATAAGAATAAACAAATATGCAACTAGAACCAATTTACTTTTGTCAAATAGTAAAAATATTAGAAAAAGAGAAGGAAAAGTTTGTCTTCCTTTGCAATGACCTGTACAAAAAAGTGAAGTAATTTCCAAAGTCTCAGATGAACTCATCTTTCAAGACGCCCCAAGAAACCAGAAAAAAAGCAAGCAAGCCCAAAGTAAAACACTGGGAGACTGAAGTGGTGAAATAATTACCTTTCACCATCTAAAATAAGGAAAAAAACTCAGAAATCAGAGCTTTAGTAGTTCATACAAGTAGAGTAAAGACAGGTATATGAGTTTTCAAGAACATTGTGCAACACGCTAGTTTGGGGAGCACCATCTAGAGATCATTCTTCTCATTAAGAGTTTCAGAGTAAGTTTATTTACAGCAATCCTGCAGACTGCAAGCACTGAGAGGTTTAAGCGAATTAGACCCAAAAATCGGAGAGATAGTTTTGTGCTATTCAGCAAGAGAACTTCAGTTTTTCTTGAAAGTCAAAGAACAGTCACATGCTTGAAAAGGCAATTGTAGTTACTGTCATTATGCTAAAAATGCATCAGGCTTTACACTCTACAGTCACCTGTCAAGTACACTGATTCTTCCTGGCTGCATCCTTTATTATTTCTTTAATCTCAGACAGCAAAGTAGCATCCATAAAACACACCTGCCTAACTTCAAACGTGTCTAACAGAAATTAACCAAGGCATGACTGAACTTGAACAACATAAACTGTGGCTAAGACAGAAAGTCAAGTGTCAGAGGTCACAGCGCCAAAGTGTCAGTTACAGTGTCACTTAAAAGTGTTCATCATTGTGTCTAGAAAACATCTGAATTAAATATAAAAAAAGCTGTGAGGAATATACTAAACAAGTTTCAAAAGCGCTGTAGGTTCAGATCGAACCCAAACTTTTGGAAGAGTTCTAATTGCTACGGTAAGTTAGTGATATTGGTAGTAGGAAACACACCTCTCCTGCATAAATTTGACTCAGGGCCTCAGTCATGATTCTTGTAAAAGCTGTTAAAGCTGACTTTCAGAACAGCCACATGTTTAGGTGTTCACATTGAACAGAAGTCTGATGGAACCTACCGATTCATGCAGCAAGGATATTACCTGCATTCTTTCATGGAAGGATTTTTTTATTATTTTTTTTTTTTTTACAAAAAAGAAATTGACAGAAAGCATTTCATAAGCCAATACTGAGAAAACAAGAAGTTCAGTTTGATGTCCTGGGAAAGTGTTAATCAATGTAACTGCACACTGCATATCTAAAGCTCCCTCTGCAGTTCAACTGAGAATAGAAATTTCTATTTCTTCCTTTGAAGTCCAGACTTACTCCAGATATTCCTGTATTCCAGTGGAAATGTCCAATTCCTTCATTTGTATTATGACAGAATACAACACAAATATAAAACTTACCCCTACCTCACGATACGTTTTAAAGAGGAGATGATCCATTGCTCCTTGCTCACTGACAAGCCTCTAAAGACTAATCACGTCTTTGTCAAAAATAAATACTGTTCTACCTTTCTCCCCACCTGGCAGCTACATTCAGCACAATTACCTACACTTTCAAAAATATGCCCTCCTGAATTCACAGATCCTGCCTTAGCTCTTCTCTCATCACTTCAGCTCATCAGCCTCATTCTGCCCCGACACGCAGCGTAGTTCTCCTTTCTACAGAAAACTTGTTTGCAGCTGAATCTTACTTGCAGAAAGGAGATAACTGTTCACCTTTACAGTTAACAGCTCAGTCACCAGTCTTCTACTTGAGACCAGCACCTTTCTGTTCAAGATCTTAGCACGTCTTTCTCCTTACAGAAGCCCAGGTATCTGACCAAGATCACCATGGCTCAAAATGAGCACTCGACCTTTGGCATCTCACTTCAACTAGCACAATTTGTTGTTATGGCTTCTCATTCAGACCCACAATCTAGGCAGCTGTCCGGATTTTCACATCCAGTTCCTTCCTCTAGCTTGCCAATTCCTATGTGAGATTTAAAACAGATGGTGTTCTTCCTCTAAGGATATATTCTACAGCTCTCAGCATCTCACTTCAGTTCCTGTAACATCTCTTCCTTCACTCTGACAAATGAAAGCTTGTCCTACTCAACCACTCAAGTGTAATGATTACAAATGTTATCACTCCAGTTTTTATTTCCCTACTACAGAAAACAGACCACCTGTCCTCCCTTTAAGGCTGTTCATGTTGTTCTATAATACCTGTTCTCTCTCTCAGACCTACCAGTAGGATTATTTTGTTTGTGTTAATATTTGACTCCTACCAGCGTCACCTTAAGTATTAGCTACTTAATCATTTTAAAGTTACATGCATGTTTTCTACAAAGCTGCCTCTCTCACACAGAAGTTTCCCATGAACAAGCTACAAAGTACTTCATTTCTTTCCTTCTAGTATTTCCCAAATCAGCTACTCTTTTGCCTATTTCTAAACAAAGACTCTACTATTACTTCAAAATAAAATAAACCTGGAAACTCTTACAAGAGTCTACCTTTGGCTCCTGCAAGTTTCATTAAAAAGAAAGCTGCAAAACAAGATTCTGAATGTACATACCGGCAAATCAGATTCTTCTTTTGGAACAGCTCTCTTTAACTTCACAACAGTAGCTCCTGCTACTGGAGACAAAGGGTACACCTTCAGACTAGCCAATACACTGCTGTTAGTCTTTGAAGTATTGTCCTGCTTAGCCTCATTATTTCTCATTCCCAGCTTAGCGTCCTCTGAGAAACTGGAGGCCGAAATGTATGTTGAGGCATTTGAAGGAACTGATAATCTTCTAACAGTGTTGGTGGTGCTTCCAGCTGGAGGAGGCTTTAGGCGATCAACAGCTCCGTTCTCTGTCTTCTTCACCTTTATGCTTGTACTTGTCGAATTGCCATCAAATACTATTAATGGTCGCTTCCTTAAACCTTCCACCGTTGTAACACTGAAAATACAAACGGTAAAATCCTCAGAAACACAAGCTAGATGATCCAAAAACAGCATATCCAATATGTGAATAGTGAAATCTAATTCAATCTTGCCTGAAGTAAAAAATATATCCCAAAATACTAACCTTAAACTCTCAGCTGCTCCAAACTTAGGCAACAGAAATTGCTTCCAAAATACAAAGGGGTAGTGGGGCAGGGAGTCATGTGAAGAACAGCATTCCTCAGCAAAGGGGGTTGTGTGAGGAACTTCCTGGGCAGAGAATTACAGTTGTGTGACCAAAGCCTGTATGCTTATACCACTGTAGCTACTCCAGAGTAACTAAAGAGATAATAGCTGTTAAGTAGTTCAAAAGGTGAATATTTGAGAAAGTGTGTGCCACCAAGAACTGTCACATCTAATTTTTAGATACATGGCTCATAGAAGAACATCGAATCGTGGGTGTGACGTTCACTTTCTTTATATAAAGTACAGGCAGCTTAAAACCTTCAGAGCAGGACTCATGTTAGCCAGCACTCTTATGCGGGAGGACACTGACACTAGCTAACAGCTGAAAAGAAACATTCTGGGATCGTGACCCCTCCTGCAGGACACTCTCTGTGAAATCTAGATTTCAATGCACATCTACATCCTAGAGAAATGCTCCAGGCTTACATTGGGCAGGGCTGAACGGAGGGCACCTGCTAATCCTGCTGTTTACTTTGTAGCGCACGGTAAAGAATACAAGATTTACTAGAGGAAGCAAAAGCTTCTCTACAGGAGCAATCGGGGTTTTCACTGTTTCACGTAATTACTCATGTAGTCAGGACAGTCTCTGGTAACTCCCAATTATGAGGACAATTTAATGAAAAATTCTCCTCTTCTTGTCTAGCTTAGCCTGGTACTTAAGGCAGCACCCTAAAACCAGAGAGAAGTGTACGTTTTAGCTCCCACTCCCTGATTATCCTAAATATTCACCTCTCACCAAAATGGGCAGGTGATTACCTCTTCTGTGAATGTCTGAAACCGGTTAGAGTACCATGTTTTACAATGAACTCATCAGTGCATTAGGAGTTCTCAGAGGACGCTGAAGCAGCCTTTCAGGCGACTAAGGAGAAATAATAAGCTCCACCAAGGCCACAGCTCTGAGCGTGCACAGCCAGTGCTCCTGGAGACCAGGAGGCTGCAGGTGAGAGTCTTCAGACTCACTGGCACTTCGGAAACTACATATCATCCCCTTTCTTCCATCAGGCAAGATGACCTTACAGATTTACGAAACTGATTGTCCCTGAACACAAATACTTTCTGAAATGTTTGAAGTTGGACAGTGTATTTGGTTTTTATTTGGTGTGATTGTCTGCAAGATCAAATATTCAGTAAGAAGATGTATAAACCATCATCTGTGACCTCAGACGTTTGATGGTATTATTAAGGTATAACATGTTACAGCAACTCAGATGAAGTACAGTAAGTCTTTTAGGATATGCCATCAATCACCAGCAGTAAAACTAAACACAATATTCAACACTGACTTTTAAATTTCAGTGTGTTTTTACCTCCTATCTGTAACTACTAGATGTATGCAAACACACACTGGGCTGGGCTGATCAAGTCTCCAAGCCTCATACTAATTCCAGCGCGCATTGTAAAGCTGCACTTTCCACAGAGGAACTCATCAGAAAGCTCCTGTTGTTTCCATGATCAATCAGTTTATGTGCCTTCTAAACCCAACTAACTGCACGCTTAGTTCCCGTCTCTCACTTGCACATCACTTACAACCTTACAATTTCTAGGAATTTTTGTCTAGACATGGACCTGTTGGAGGGGGTCCAGAGGAGGGCCACAAAAATGATCAGAGGGATGGAACACCTTTCCTATGAGGAAAGGCTGAGATAGTTCGGGTTGTTCAGCCTGGAGAAGAGAAGGCTCCGGGGACACCTCATTGTAGCCTTTCAATACTTAAAGGGGGCTTATAATAAAGATGAGAACATACTTTTTAGTAGGGCCTGTGGCAACAGGACAAGGGGATAATGGTTTCAAACTAAAAGAAGGCAGATTCAGACTAGATAAAAGGTATTTTTTACAATGAGGGTGGTGAAACACTGGAACAAGTTGCCCAGAGAGCTGGTAGAAGCCCCATCCCTGGAAATATTCAAGGTGACAATGGACAGGGCTCTGAGCAACCTGATCTAGTTGAAGATGTCCCTGCTCACTGCAGAAGGGTTGGACCAGATGAACTCTAAAGATCCCTTCCAATCCAAACCATTCTATGATTCTATGAAAAGGAGCACTACGAGCTAGATACCATCAATAACATTTGGATGACAAAAAAAAGATTATCTTCCCCTTTTTCCTATTATTGTAGTAGTAGAATCCAACACTTCTCACACAGGAGACCTGACACGACATTCTCTGTAAAAGGGAACAATGTCTAAGATATGCACAAATTTCATTAATCAGACAAACAAACATTAAACTAAATGCATTGTCCCAAATTCTCCAAATCTAGCCCAATAAAAGCCAATTACCTTTTATTCTCACTCTTCAACTCATTTTGCTGTCTTTTCTTTTCCATCATTTTCCCCCATCTACTTTTTGGTAAGTCACGCTGAGGCAGAGGAATGGCATGTTGAATATAGAGATCAGTGAGACCGTCTTTGTCCATCTTTACATCATTTTCAACTAGTATATTCTTCAGAGAACAGGAAAAATGTTGTTATTATTGTGACAATTTCAAAGCACGATATCTTAGTGATGGCATAACTTCTTTTTTCAAAAGCCACTTTAAGGTAGTGTATCAGACATAAATACCAGGGTTTCAGAACTGAGGGGACTGCAGAGGTGACTGGTACAGAGAGGCCACAAATCGCCCCATACCAATGACAGCCTGGTGTCCTGCTTTCCTACTGTCAACTTTCCTCATTTTCTGTGTGGATTACACTCGGTCCCTCCCTTCAGTCAGGCAATGGGAAACGTGCCATGTTTGGGTCAGTGCATAGTGGTTTCTTTTTCCACTACCTGCAAGTGCATCTCTTTGCATATCTCCTCATGTGCCTCTTCCTGTGCATCCTTTTCTGTCTCCTGCCCCTGGTGGCTGCTGCTCTTTGTTAACTGCATGAGCTCGTCTGCTTGAAATTTTGGTGTGTGATGGGTTGCTTCCATCAGAGACAGCTGGATCCAGCTGTGACCAGTACTGGGCAGTTCAGCACCTTTGCCCACATGGGTCAACCCTGCAGCCCCTCCCTATCCAAACCCCTGCAATTTTTCCTAACAAAAATAGCAACAAAAGGAAAAAGTTATGACAGACATACTGTTAATGACTGATGTTTTCATGCACTCTTATACACACTTCTCTGAATTCAACTACAATACCAGAGGCTCTTCTTCACACTTCTAAACAACAGGCATCTAGAACATAATGCAGTTCAAACTTACAGACATAGAGCCGTACTTCCTTCCCCAGTTCCCAAAGAATAAGTCAGATTTCTAGTAACTGTCAGTTATAACTGAACACCAGTTCTCCTTCTAATCACATACAGCATTGTGAAAACAAAACTTCTCAGTACCTCCTGCCAAATTTACTAAAAGAGAAAAAAAAACACTAACTTTCTGCAAACTAGAGGTCACTGAAAGTAGGTCGAGTCTCTGCCACTGCTGGTTTTGGCAACACTTCCTGACTTCTGATGTGGTCCTAAAACCCGTACGTTTTTGTCCACATAAGCTACAAGGACAAGATCATGCAAAATTCAGCGAGTTCATACAAAAATCATAGAATCATAGAATGGTTAGGGTTGGAAGGGCCCTTAAAGATCATCTAGTTCCACCCCCCCTGCCATGGGCAGGGAAACCCTCCACTACACCAGGTTGCCCAAAGCCTCATCCAACCTGGCCTTGAACACTTCCAGGGATGGGGCAGCCACAACTTCTCTGGGCAACCTGTTCCACTGTTTCACCACTCTCAGAGTGAAAAATTTCTTTCTTATATCTAACCTAAATCTGCCCTCTTTCAGTTTAAATCCATTGCCCCTTGTCCTATCACTACACGCCCTTGTAAAAATTCCCTCTCCAGCTTTCCTGTAGGCCCCCTTTAGGTACTGGAAAGCTGCTATAAGGTCACCCCGGAGCCTTCTCTTCTCCAGGGTGAACAGCCCCAACTCTCTCAGCCTGTCTTCATAGCAGAGGTGCTCCAGCCCTCCAATCTAAAACTTAGATTACTGTTTCATGCACCTGGAATTTCCAGGCAAGGCAGCAACAACTATTCCAAATCAAATCATGCGAAGTTTCACACAGTCCAAAACTGGTTAGAGCTCACTTTCGGATTCTTTCGATTACGCATACTTAAGCAATAGCTTGACCGGTTATGTAGGACATATTTCCTTCATTCACCGGCTACGAACGTGGCAACTTTAGCACAGTAAAGATCGCCTTTCCGCAGATCATTTCACTCCATGCAAACAAACACTGTCTCACAGACATGCTGATTCGGGCACATTACTCTTTAGCAGCTGCAGCGTTTGAACACAGCCCCTTTGCGAACACCAACACATCTCACACTGCCAGCCTCCTCTAAGCAAGTCCGTAGCCCACAAACTACTGTCTCGGGTTTTGCTTGGGTTTTTTTTTCCCTGATTGCTTCCTGCGTGCCTGTTACGGGTACTACAACGACTGGAAACTGCAGGAGGACTGGGATTAGAAAGCCTCCAGTGTAGGCGACTTGGCGGTGCCCCAAACCCACCTCGAGGAGCCTGTTCTATAATCGATAACCCACAATACACCCAATCTCTCCTTGCCAAAACAGCCTATATACCGCCGTCACCAGCCCACCTCTCTGAGAGCAAAACAGTGGACACAACAGCCAGCCCTCACCCCGCTAAAACGACAGGTCAAGGTATAGCCTATGGAGAGGAAGAAATGGGCTACATTTTCTAAGCTAGAAAACCACGAAAAGAGGTGTGAAACCACCTCTAGAAGGTGGATTTAGCAGTAAAGCAGGACAATGTAAGCCTGCTTTAAGCCGGCTCTGGGACACGTACACACCGCCCGTCACCCTCCTCATAAGGCACAACTCCCGCGTACCTAAGCCCCACACCAGCCAAAGACCAGGTAAGTCGTAACAAGGGAGGA